TGTTTTAAAAGCATCGTCCTCTGGTGAGTTAAAAATAGACTATAGCACATTGGGTGAAAATCAGGGGTCCAGTTAAACAGCCAGTGCAATAATCTAGGCCAGAGGGGAGGGTGGCTCTGCTCCGTGCTAATAAGAGCAGAGGTGGCAAGAAGGGGTCTGTAGCTGGTTAGACTTCAAAGGCAGAGCCCACGGGGTTTACTGATGGATGGGATGTGGTATGTGAGAAGAAGAGAAAAGTTATAAATGATTCTAAGGATTTTGTCTCGAGCAACTAGATGATAGAGTGGACATTTACCGAAATGGGAAAATTGCTGAAGGAGCTGTTTCGGGGAAGAGATAGAATGGAGAGGTCAGGTCAGACACACAATTGCCCACTATTAGAGAGTAGAGCATTTCTGTGAAACCTTTTGGAAGCCAAAATGGCCCAGCATATAGTGGGCACTTGGGTTTTTGTTAATTGAATGCTGATGTCGTGTGCTAAACCAATCCTTGGATGATACATTTACGTCTTAAAAAAGACTTTTTCTGACGTTTTAAGCTACAATTAATAAGGTAAAATGTAATAGGAATAAATGTATACCCATTTGTTCAGTTCCCAAATAATCAACAGGGACAAGAGGAGAGATTCTTGTTTCAACAGCAGTTCCGATGAGAAAGACTTGGGAGCTTTAAGGTTACAGCTCACTAAGAGCCAAGTGAGGGAAGCATGCACTGCAGAGTCGATAGACTGTTAATAGAAGAACAGTTTCTAAATCAAGGCTGGAGACATCATTAGACTGTGCTCCTAGGTGATTAAACATTACCTAGAGTATTGGAGTTGATAATTAAGTGCCACATTTTAAGAGGAACACTAGACCGCGCTCAGAGGATAGAGAGCAAGGTGTGTGGGGGAGGCTAAAAGTCTAAATGTTATGGCATATTATGACTTGGAAGAACTCGGAATGTTTAGCTAAAAGAAACAACTGAAAGTGACACCGAGATTGATTAGATGATACTTTGAGCTCCATCAAAAACGCTATGACTGGGTAGCAATGTCATTATGTACCACAAAAAGATGTGAATTAGTCCCAGGTGGTATCCCCTGCAGGGAAGTCCCTGTTCCTATCACCCAAAAAGGATTTAGGGTACCAGTCAGAATGTTCTGCACACCAAATTGTTCTCCATGAACAATGGGTTTAAATTATCCTTATCTACAAATAGAGATCATACCTACGTTATTTACTCACATAATCATGGTCTTATCAGAAATGTCCGATAATTCCACCAATAGACTCTTTTTGCTATTGCTTCAAATCATTAACAAAGGTTTTTGACTGCAATAAAATCAATCAATCAGTCAACCAATTCTGGTTCAACAAATGCTTTATGGATATCCACTCACAGAGCAGCTTATTCTCCTTGGGTACAGGGTTTTTAATCACGCATGAATTTACCAAGCCATATTTTATTTAATTAATTTATTTCTATATGTTTCACAGGAACTTTATGAAATACTTTATCTGTGAGCTCCTCTCACATGCAAGGCTACTAACGCTGTGAGAAAGCAATGAGGTTCCTGTTGTTTGACTTGCTCTGGCGAACACTCAGATCCTTATTTTCCAAGAAGCCTCGATTCTTCTGTTAAATATGCAGTCCTAGAATTTTTCCAGGAAATAGCAATCCTCCTGTTTCCACTTTTGAAATACCTCTTTTTTTTTTTTTTTTTTTGGTATTTGGGAGATTTCATTCCCCATTGTCTCAAAGATGACGACCAGGGTTCTGGGACCCGCCACTGTCCTTTCCGGGCTCTGGGAAGCTGCATCTGGAGGGCAGAGGGGACACTAATGTGGAAGGGGCAGCTTCGGGGGGCAGACAGGTTCAGTTGGTGGTGATGACTGGGGGCAGAATCCTTAAACCTTGTCCTGACTCAGCAGGGAGTCCTGCCATTGTGCAATGGCAAGGTCTGTCATTAGCCAAGACTGGCTGTGCGGTAACTGTGCTTCTGAACTTGAGCTAAGTGTTCTCTCACTATTTCTTAATCATGCTAAGCTATGTCTTCCTTCTACACATCTTTGCGTTATCCCTTTCATTTCGAAGGCTTTTTGCACTGTGATAAAATTGAAGAAAAATGAGAGGTGATTAGTTCTATCATTTATCAGTTGTGTCACTTTGGACACATTGTTTAATCTGATTTTATAGGGTCCGTTTCCTCAGGAATAAAATTCTTACCTAGGCTGAATTTACATAATTGTAACATCTATATCATCTTGGGCCCCTAGTGGTTCTCCTCCTGGCTACAGATTTAAAGCGAAGGCAGGTGTTACTCTTTTTAAAACCTTTTTATTGCCATAACTTGTTTTTCTCTAGTTTTATTGCCATATAATCGACATATAACATCATCTTGATCCAAAGTATGCAACATAATGATTTGATATATGTATATATTGTGACATAATTACCACGATAGGTTTAGTTAACATCAGTCACCTCATAGAGATAATAAGAGCTGGCGAGGATGTGGAGGAAAAGGAAACCTAGTGCACTGTTGATGGGAATGTAAATTGGTACAATGGCTACGCAAAACAGTATTGAGGCTCCTCAAAAACTTAAAAATAGAATTACCACAGGATCCTGTGATCCTGCTCCTGGACATGTATTTAAAACCAAAGCACCATCTGGAAGAGGGTCTGCGGCCCCGTGCTCACTGCAGCATTGCTCACAATGGCCATGACACGGAGACAAGCAAGTGTCCATCAACATATGAATGGCTACTCTTAAAAAAATTAAAATTCCTTCCTCTAAAAGGCTCTCCAGACTCCCTTCCTCTCACAGTCCCATGCAGCCAACCAATTATTTCAGATCAGCTTCCTGCCCCCACCTCATCTTTGGACTTGAATCCGGAGGTTGTCCTGTGGTTACCTGACACCTTTTGCCAGGACTGTGGTGGGAGTTCCCTGTGCTCTCTGCCTGCAGTCTTAAACCAATCCCTGTTCACTTCCATCCTGCCCCTTTCCTGCCACCCCCACCCAGGCTGTACAGTGCAACTTCCTAGAGCAGGAAGGCCACAGAGTGACATTGAACTTGTAATCACATGAGAGCACTTAACAACCTGTAAATGGCTCTATCATTGCAAAATATTCCCCTGAATTGCAATATATTTTAAGACAGCATAAAATTTTGAAAAAATGTCTTCAGGGAAAAAAAATAATAAATGTGTGCTTGGATTTACAAGGCATTGGATTTCAGAAACACCGAAATGGTCTGTTGTTGTTTTTTCTTTAAAGCCTGTCTTTGAGCTGGGGAAGGCAGGGCTGCCTGCGAACATCCCCCGCCCACCGGCCACTTCCTTATGTAACAGGTTATTGGGGGGGGATGGGGTAGGGTGACATCAAGAAACAGCTTCGTGTGTCCCCCACCACTGCCACCCTCACGTCCATCCCGTCAGCGCTCCCTTCCCCAGGCCTGAGTGTCATCTTGGGCAGATGAGCACTCTGGTCACGTTCAGGTATTAGAAAGTCCAGCATGCTCTAAATCAAAACTTCACGGTCTCCAACAGAAGGGGCTACTTTCTCTCCCCTCCATGACCTCAGCTCAGGTCAGACCTGCTCCTTCTTCTACCCTTCCCCCACCCACTCTGCTATTTCTGGCTCTCCAGGGCCAGGGCCAGGGCCAGGGCCAGGGAATAGGGTCAGGGAGAGGGGCCAGGTTCCGTGCTTTGCTCTGAACGGTGTAATGCTCCTTCTCACTGCTGACATGTACATACTGGAAAATTCCCATGGGAATTTTGAAGGTTTGAAGGTTTATTGTGCCTACCTCCCACTACTCCCACATCCCCACCCACCCCTGAACACACACTCTCTCAGTGGATTCTCCACCATCCCAAGCAGGGGTCATACGCTCTCAGGTGGCCTCTTACAAGTCCCCAGCACCCTTCCTGCATTTGCTAAGGGCTGGCTGCCCTCGCCAAGCAGGCAGGCTTCTTGGCCACCTGTGGTCCTTTCCGAACTTGGGTTTGCAGACCATTCCTACTGCTGCCCTCTCTTCTCTGCCAGCCAGCCTTCTGCAGGAGCTTCTGCCAGCCCCCAGCCTTCAGGCTGCCTCAGGCGTGAGTCCGGTCCCCAACCCCCAAGGGCCACATTTTAAGCTCTCCTTCCTGTGAGTGTCTAGGCACTGCATGAGGAAGGCTGGACAGTTTGGTATATCAGCCAGGACCTGGCCAGCCAGTGAGGTATCAGCTTCCCTTTCTAAAAATAACTCTAATCTCCCCTTGCCCTTGTCTAGGGCCCTTCTTTGCTTATTCTGGGTGGCCAGGGAGTGGGGTGGGAGGGAGATGAGGAGGGGCAGGGAAGCCACCATGTTCTCTATTCCTACACAATCTCTCCAAGGAAATCTTTGTTCTCTCCTAAGAGCAACACGCCTCTTCACATGCCCAGGCGGTTGCCTGGCCCGCTTGACCTCCTCTAAGTTCAAGGTGGATGTGGCCAGCCCCTTTATTCAAAATGGGGACAGTACTCATCGTCCATTATCCTCGGTTTGGAGGCTTTGGCAAAAATAGGACACAGGAGTCTCGTTTTACCTGTTACGCTTGTACAATTCAATTCAACAAGCCCGGAGTGTGTGCTACTTGCCGGGCACTGAGCAAAATGCTGGGATCGCAAAGGCGACCAAAATCTAATCCACAGCCTCAAAGGATCATAACTCCTAGCAGAGCTCAAAATAGATGAACCGGGGTGACAGGGGTGGTGGTGAAGGGCACAGGCTCCAAAACCTGGCTCCCTGGGTTGAATTCCCACTTTGCTACTTACTAGCTGCCTGACTTTGGACCAGTTGTCTTAACTCTCTGCACCATTTCCCGCACTGTGGACAGGGATGATAGCAGTACCTACTTTCATGCTGATCAAACAAATTCAACTGTAAGTACATAAAACAGAGTCTGGCACGGAGTGGAATTATTTGCATCAAACACAAAACATGGTGCTGGTCTTACTGTTTCACGAGCTTCAGCTCATCCTGGCCTTTACCTTTCCTTCCGCGTTCAGGCTCCTGCTTTGCACGTGCCTCTGGGCGTGGTCCTCCCCTTCTGGCTTCCGGTCCTGTCATCACAGCGCTCAAGTAACAGGACCAGCTCTTTGCTCTCAGGGCCTTCCTTAGAGACCTCCCTCTGGTCTTTTCCACCAGAGCATTTGTTGTCATTCTGACTTTCAGAGTGCCTCACGCCCCATCTTCCCTTTCAGTGTCTCATGTGGGTACACTGGACATGCACACCCCTCCCCCATCTGAAATCTCCTTTCTAAAAATATAACGGGCACATCTAATTATATCCTGTGTTCCCATTAGAGCACATGTTAAGTTCAGAGTCTGAACCTGGAAGGAAAGGTAATCCCTGTAGTTGCTTGTGTTGCTTCCTTGCTCTCCTGTAAAATAAATTTAGGAGTAAAATCAAGTCAAAATTTAACACAATTAGATTCCTACCCTTATGACAACGGTCATGGGACAGTAGCAAGACATGCCTCCTGTACTGGCCTGTGGGTGAGTCCCTGCAGCTGAGAGCTACCCTAAAGGGGGTATGAGATCATCTGTGTAGGGCCAACAAAGGGGTGGGCCAAAGCTAGTTCTGTCACCCACCCAACAGTTTAGAAGAGGATGCTAGAAATTTCTTCAGACATTGAAGCAGCCAGCAACACGGGTGAGTGTGAAGAGAGTTGGCTTTCTGGGCTCTCACACCACAGCCACCCTGGCCTGGGAAGACAGGAGTGGTTTCCTCCTTAAGCAAAGTGAGAGAGACCCCATAATCCACTTGGAGAGCTTCACCGGTGTGGCTGGAATTGCGTGGGTGCAGACTGGCATCTGCCTTCCACCTGTAAGGAATGGCCGCGGTCGGAGAGGCCCCTGCGGGGAGGCGACTAAAGACACAGGGGATGGCACCCGGACACAGGGGCACGCCGCGGGTATGGGGAGGGGGCGAGGCCGGCTGGAATGACTTTGACTTCTTTAAAAGAACTGAAGGTCAGAGGCCCATGATATTAAGCAAGGTGCCAAGGGGAGACCCCAAAGAACCCACAAAAGTGCTGCCCGAGGGAAGAAGTCAGCCTGGCACCAGGTTGCAGTGGTGCCCACCGAGTGCGCCCTCTCTGACTCCTGCCTTCTCTTCTACCTCAGTCCCGGTCGGTGCGGGTGGGCAGTCGGAACCAGGGAGAAGGTGTGAAAACAGTGACGAAGCAGCCATGACAGCCCACCTCACTGCTGACTCCTCATCTTGCCTCAGGCCCAATCTGGTGGGAAGAAATTCATATGACAAATTTGAATTCTGAATTAAAGTGGATATTTTTATTATCTGAAAAGTGAGGCTATTTGTTAACTCTGTAAGAACTGCCTGAGACTTCTTATGGAAGAAGAAGCATTCAACTGAACACAGAAAAAATAATTGCTTTCTTTCTCCTTCAAAGTCCAACTCACGCAATGAAACAGTGACTCAGTACTAAGAGAGCACATACACAGCCTCCACTTAGCTGGTCCGTGGACACACAGGATGACTTGGTTGCAGTGTGGGAAGCATGATTCTTGCATTGAGAGGTTCCTATACATTAGGAACCCACCCCCTGGAGTGGTGGCCTTGTTCCTGTCTCCTTCTAGTTCCATCCACATGCTCCGGTCATTCATCATCATGAGTAACAGATGCTGCAGGACCAGGGAGAATGCCTCTTGCCGTGCTCAACAGACATAAGAAATATTTGGCAAAGACTTAACCCAGGGAGTGAGAGGGAAGCTTAGCCATTCCAGATGGAGACGGTCCCTCCAAGGGGGGCCACAGGGGCCAGCAGGTGAGCAAACACTCAGGGGATGGAGGTGGAGGTCTGTCCAGAAAGATGTCTGAGACCCTGAGAAGGGCTCTGGTATGGGTCTGCCAGATTAACAAAACCTGGGACCCCCAGCCCTATGCTGTGTCTGGTTACCCTTCTCTGGAGGGTGTGCCACACCAGGGCAATGAGGAGCAGCATCTTTAGCACATGCTACTGTGGCCAGTAGTTGATCCAAATCAAAGAGAGGGAAGCTGTATGGGAACAGACAGTTCTCTACTTGTATCTGAGAGAGAGGAAACATTACACATCCTCAGATCCACCAATGATTATCACCAGAAAAAGTTAAGTGGGAGAAATACTGTGTGCTTCAGTGATGGAAAGAACCAGAGAAAGCAAATTTATATCACCCGCTTTAAAGAAATATGGCTCAGAGATAAATGACTCAGAGGGAAGTCATATACCAATGTAAAGCCTATTAAAAAGTAAGTGCATTCGGTCTTTAATTTAATTTTGAGTCAAATAACTGGGTTAAATTTATTCCTTGTGCAACACATAATTTTAACATTTTATTACACAAAGCTGACAATTCAATTTAAATTGTAAGAGTCTGTTTGGCACAATTAATTTTAATGATATTTACTACTTGCTAGGTATTCTTAAAAGGTGGAACATCTTAAGAAATTTGTTCAAGTTATTCCAGATCACTTTCAGAGCTATGTTAGCAATCAGAGTCCAACTCCCATCAGTGGGGCCTTCTGAAAAGCTGACAGACACAAGTGCTGATCTGCAAGTGGTAGCAGGAGTATGATTTTTACATCAACAAATTCAGGGGCAAGAGGGGGATCTTGCTGCCCTCTGACAGGCCCCCATCATGGGTGCCCCCAGCTGTAGTCACGTCACGATGGCCAGCACCAGACATGTTCCTAGAGCAAAGTAAAGCTGCCCCCCCTCCCCAGTATTTGATGGTCTAAAGAGAGCTGGGTGATTGAGCCCTGGCTTCCCCTCTTCTGCTTGTTCAAGTCGTTATCATCTTCAAAGACTCAGTCTGCTGTGTCACTTCTGCTGTGAAGCCTTCTCCAAATTTCTCAGTCGTGTTAACTCTTTCCCCTCTCTAAGGAACCCCACCCCCATGGCAAGTTCTAGATCCCTCCATGGGTGCTTCATTTATTTTCTGAACTCCCTCAAAATACTACATGTTGTGCTAAGGACCAGCGAGATCCCAAGAAACAACATAGGCTCTGCCCTCAAGGAGATCAGGGCCCAGCAGGGGAGAGCAACACACCAGGACGGGAGTGGGTGATGAGTACCAGGTGCTATAACCCACAGAAAAGGCTCTTTTTTTCAGATTGGGCCAGGACCTGCTGGGAAGATTCCTTGGGGAGGCGGAATCGAAGCCAACACCTGAAGGTCTAGAAGGATAAGCCATAGAAAATGGAGAAGAGTCAAAATGTCTCCGAGGATCCAAGCCACATGGAGAAAGAAGCATGTGCAAAAGTGAAGGGGTGCTAGAACTCAGGTGATGTCAGAGCTCCCAAGTGACGTCACTCGGGTGACGTGGCAGAAAGGGAAAGCTGTGGGGACAGAGTCAGGTCACTAATGTGAGACAAAGCCTTCTGTAAATTATGAAGTGCCTTTCAAACAATAGGTGTAGGGGGTAAAATAAGTGAGTGTGTATTTATAAGTTTTGTAAATGTAAAATAACATAATTCTCAATTACTTATCCAGTGTTACTAAAAAATTTCTTTGTTGAGTGTTTTAGACCAAACTTTCAAATTCTTATTAAAAAGGCCCTAGCAAGCCTTAAATTAAAAAAAAAAAATAGGTGTAGGAGAAAGTGGCTGAACAACTCTGACAATCAGAGACTCCCAGTCTTTGCCGTCCAAGTTGCAGCAGCCTCTGAAGATTTACAGAGAATCTGGGGAAGGACGAGGATTGTACTCAATGTGTTTCTCTTGATCGTGCACATGTACGAGGGGCTTCCAGGAAATTTTCGAAGGTTAGCATTTTGGTGAGGCACTGTACATCCAGGCACTAATCAAGAATTCTGAGAACAGTAGGGATTAACCTATGGTGAGGTCTTACTCTGCTTCCAACACTATTTAAAATGCTTTGCATGTTAAAATCGACTTATTCCCAACCACTTAAGGGGGGCTAGGCTACTATTACCCCCATGTTATAGGGGTAATATAACCTGGACCTGGGAACCCAAGGCTCACTGTCCCAGAGACAGAGGCCTGAAAATCAAGGACAGATGGACAGTAGGTGGAGTATGCCTGGCCTGGCCTTGGAACGCCCCCTGAGGCAGCCACTGCCTCGGAAGAACAATCTGGGGAGTTTAATTAACAGCGCACTTGCAGGAATGCCAGGAACAATGGGAACCATGGCTGAATAACTTGAGGCTGAAAATCAGAACTGAGGTGCCTTCATTGCCATCTTTCAAGCTGCTACGAAGAGCAATAGGCCGAGCTGAACTTGACCATTTCAGGCATGAGCATGGTCAAGATTAATTACACAGATGGATCACTTTGCTCTGAAAAACCCATGGATGGTTTGATGTAGTGACTTCTGCAACCATAAAATCAGGAGATGTATGGCTATCCCTATACTGAGTGGGGCCCCGAAGAGATTGACCTCACATATAAAGTGAAAATGATATGCATGAATTTCACCAGGTGGCGGAAACTCCTCATGCTACTTACAAATAGTGATTTCATGCCCAAGATGCTAGATTTAGATGTCAAACTGGGGGAAAGTTTTCTTGAAAAATGGCCCATGGGACTGTGGGAGACGTGCTGGATTCTGATATGCAGAAGGTTAGAATTTTACATTTGGGCCTTGAAAAGATCTCTAAGTACACAAGCTTTAAAAAGGCGTGGGGGAAGGAGGGCTGGGGGTTCCAATTATTTTATAGTCAAGATATATCTTCAGAGTAAAGGCATGTCTGTGCTGTCAACCCAGCTGAAAGCTTTGTGACCTCGTCCTCTCCAAAGGAGTGTGAGAGGGAGGCCAGCTGGTGGTGGCGGGCCAGGCTGTGGTGCTCTGGGCCTGCACGCCTGACCTCCTCGTCAGCTGTCCTCACAGGTCTGATGTGGGGCTGCTTCTCTGCAAGGCACATGGTGCCCGCTTTAGGGCAGCCACTGCAGGGCAGCTGGAGGAGCACCATCCTGAAAGTGAAGGAAGGTGTTGCCATCCCAACTCTGCTGCTGGCCGGTGATAGGATGCTGAGGGTGTGACATGTCTGTGCCTCGGTTTATTCATTGGTGAAATGGGATAACCTCCCCCA